TGTTTATCACAAATAAGTAACATACTAATGAGCTTGAAATAACCCCTTCAGGGTTATAACCAAACACTTCTGGTCTGGAATTTCTGAACTAAAATCTTAACTTTTTTTTGAACTGTTCTTAATTATCTCCTTTCATCAGGAGGAACTGTGTACTTACATAATAAACATCTAATATGTTCCTGCTATTAATGTGACACAGAAGTAGTGTTAGATAACTTTTGATGAGTAATGAAAATGCCTTTTAAAGATTAAAATTAAACAAAGAATTGTGGATGCTGAAGATCTGAAATAAAACCAGACAATGCTGGAGAAAATTAGCAGGTCTGGCAACATTTGTGGAGAGAAAGCAGAATTAACATTTCAAGTCCTGTGACCCTTCCTCAGGACAGTTCTATTTTGTTTTTGTCTTTTAGTCTTAGAAAAATACAGAACATTTCCTTCAACAGCAGTAGGGCTACATCAATATCCGGGAGTTGTGAATGGAATGGAAACGTGTGCAATCAACAGGAACCATTTCCACTAGTGATCTAATGAAAGACAGATGGTCACTGATGAAGCAGCTGAAGATAGTTGGGCCAATGTCTCTAGGACACTACCTTGAGGAACTCCTGCAACACTATTCTGGGCTGAGCTGATTGGCATCTAATGATCACAGCCATCTTCTTCTGTGCTATGTATGGGTGGAGGATTCTTCCCTGATTTGGACTGACTTCAATTTTAATTGCAACTTTTTGATGCAACAATCATATTCTGTCTTGATATCAAAGGCAGTCATACTCACTTCACCTCTGATATTCCACTCTGTTTCGATAATGTTGTTAGGAGCAGAGTGGTCCTGACAGAACTCAAACTGTGCATTGGTGAGCAGGTTATTGGTGAGTAAATGCTGCTTAATAGCAGCATGTAAATAACTCCTTCCATCACTTCGTTGTTGATCAAGAGTAGGCTGATGGGTCAGTAATTGGCAGCGATGAATTTATCCTGCTTTTGTAGATGCAATTTTCTATTTTTTTTAGGTAGGTGCTAATGTTGTGGCTGTTTTGGAGCAACTTAGCTTGAAACAACATAAATTGAGGCATAGCTAGTTCTAGAGTCTATCACTTCAGCACTAAATACAGGGAGTTATCAGGATTCATAGTGTTTGCTCTATCTTGTGTACTTGGTCCTTTCTTGTCATCATGTGAGGTGAATTACTTTGGAAGTAGATTGACCTCTGTGGTGGTAGGAACCTTAAGTGAGACTGCAGTGGACCATGGCAGGTGGCTTAAGATGGTTGCAAACACTTCAGCTTTGTATTTTTCGCAGATATGCTGGGCTTCCCTGACACTAGGGACAGGGATGTTAATGGAAACTACTTCCTATATTTGTTGGTTATTTAAATTTCTAACACAATTCCTGTATGGGTGTGGTAGTACAGACAACTTTGATCTGATCTGTTTTTTGCGGTATTGATTATCTCTGCCTCAGTTTTAAGTATGCCTGTGCTCCTTCTGCCATGTAATTTTGAGCAAGGACTGGTTGCCTTCCTTGATGATAATGGTATGTTGAGGGATATGCTGTGTGTACAGTTGTGGTGGTTATTGAATTCAGGAACATGCATTACATTTGGTGCGGCATGGTGGCACAGTAGTTAGCACTGCTGCCTCACAGCACCAGGAACCTGGGTTTGATTCCACCCTTGAGCGACAGTCTGTGTGGAGTTTTCACATTCTCCCTGTGTCTGTGTGGGTTTCCTCTGGGTGCTCTGGTTTCCTCCCACAATCCAAAGATATGCAGGTTAGGTGGAATGGTCATGCTAAACTGCCCATAGTGTGCAGGGATGTACAAGAGAGATTGATTAGCCATGGGAAATGCAGAGTTCTAGCGTTGGTGTTTGGGTCTGGGTGGGATGCTCAGTGTGGACTTGATGGACCGAATGGTCTGTGTCCACACTGTAGGGATTCTATGATGATTCTATAATACCACATTTAATCCCTACATTGTGGAAGCAGGTCATTTGGCCCATTGAGTCCACACTGACATAATTTCATTGCTGTTTGCGAAGTGAGTTGCAAGACCATTCAGGGGCCTGTTGAGAGTCAGCATCATTGCATGTGCCTGGAGTTAGATATGGGTCGGACCTGCTTCTGAAGCAGCACTGCCAGAAATGAAGTTTTAGGTTTGGATGTTTTAGTCCTCTGCCACAGGTAGGCCTTTGTGGTAATGTATTTCTAACCGATCTTTAACTAACTCACAGGAATCTGCAGATTTACATATTTGGCTAGATGTTTAGTTCTTTTGAATGTGCAATTGTTTAGGTAGTGAGATGTTTCTGAATTTTTAAAATTTGTTAGGGAAGAGTTATATATTTGTCAGCCCTGCAATGAAGCATGGAAGGATTTGCTGTCCAAATCATCTTGTGGCTAGGATTTTGAAATGTATGTATTTTATTATTAAGCAGTAATGACAGTGTGATTCAATATGATCTTGCAGCTTCAGTCTTATTGTATCCTAAACGTCTAATATCTTACTGCATTGTTTTTTCACTAGTGGATATTTTATTCATAAGTACACTATAGACCAGTTCAAAATTAACAGTAGATAAAGTGCAAAACAGATTAGTTTCTTTCTCTAGCACAGCCACCCCAAGTGCAGCATGCAGAGGTAGTGAGATTCCAATGTGAAAGAGGGAACTGAGAGGGGAATTCCTTCCAACCGCCAGCCAATTTATGCCTTGAAGTTTGTTTGAAAGTTCTGGCCACAAGTTCCGGCATTTTTGCTGAATAACTTTTCTCAGGGAATTTTCCAACAGGACTCACTTTCTCCCTTTCCTGCAGGCCTTTGAGGATGTTACATGCAGACCACAGCCAGATAGACTTGTGGTCAAAAATATTTTTTGCACAAACTTTTCCATGAAGAACAGGTAATACTGCACAATCCCACTGACTGAAGCATTCTGCTGCAACATGGCTACATCCATCATTCGCAACACTGGGATAAAACAACATATGATGATGCTTAGTGCTCTTGTAACAAGGGTCTAACACAGTAGGACAGTCTATGATGATGTTACGGACCTATCTTCTTTCTTCAGGCTTCTGATTATACAGCATTTTCTGCGTACTTACGGAAAAAGAAACATGAACGTGTCTCATCTAGCTCCAAGTACAGACTTTGAATTGAAAATTGATCTTCATGGCCTCCATAGTAATGATTTCCATGGTCTTCAGCTCTTGGAGATCCCTTTTGACATCAACCCCAAACAGATAAAGCGGAAGGAGATTCTACAAGCTTCTCTGGAATTGAAGATGTTTCCCTTTTTCTCTCTCTTGCTTTCTGAATACCTTTAAGGATTTTGATGACTGCTTGATGGATTGGCATCAATACACTGGGGGCTGAAAGAGGGTTTTCATGGTCTCCAGCCTTTGTAATCTGTTGTGAGTTCATTGATGGTTTCTGAGTTAACTGTTTCAAGTTTAGTTTCCAAACCAACCCTCCTCCCCACTACCGACCTTCTGATTTTTCTGTAAATGACTGTCAGCCAATAAAATGCAGCAGGGCTCGAGGAAAAGTCAAGCTTGACAGTGGCGGATCTGACAGTTAATACTCAGGCACAAACAGGGCGGTTCACAGTATAACTATTGTGATTATCTCCTATCGGAGCTGAAGTGCAGTATTTCTCAAACCTGCACAAACAGCGGTCAGTTATGATTGTGACAAAGTATCCCAAGGTTGAAACACATTGTGTTATAGACTTAACACTACATAACTAAATGAAGGCAATCTTTTGACCCATTAAAGCTATGTGTTGCTTAACCAGTTCAACTGTCTATCATAGTCCCAGTCCTTAGGTAGGTCCCTGTATGCCTGCAGTTTCCATTTCAACATTGTTGGACCAAGAAAGCTGTCTTGAGTTATGGCCTTAAGGTTGTTCTGCCCAGGAGACATCTGGGGTGTCACAGCAACAGGGATGTCTGGCATTTCCTCCTTTGGTGAGGTCTTACCAGTCTGTTTTTCCTTCAGCTTCCTGGAGATGGGTACACTTGGGTATCTCGATGCACTTGTTGCTTTATGATTGGAGCACACTGGGCCTTTGCTATATTTAACTTTTCAGAATGACGGTCTTCTCCTCTAGCATCTTTTGCAATTTGCTGCCTTTACCCTTCCCCCTCCCTATGTTGCCTTTCCTGTCCTTATTTTAGTGTATTGGCATGGAACCAAACTTCATTTTGAGAGTGAAGGGGAGACCAATGTGACAGGCATAAGTGGAGTATCCTTCTGCACTTTCTAATGCTTTCAACTGTGTTTTTTTGGAGACCAGCCAAGTATAGATACATTTGCAATATTTTAAAAAAAAGAGAAATTAAGACCGGACCAAGTGAAACAACAGGGGGCATACTTGAGGAAGGCTTACCGAGTGGGTGGTGTCCTAAAATAAAAGCTTTTCCTTCCACACTACTCTTACGTTAACCGCATTGTAGTATGTCGTGTGGAAAGTTTCGGCCACGTTTGGGGATCAGTCTGAGTCACTTTTTGAGGGGATCGCGTCATTACGGATGATCCTGGCGCAGGTAGCCCGAAAGACCACACCCACTCTCGTTGTGGGGGTGTTGGAGGATGCTTTTGCTGGGAATGTTGCAAAACCAAACCCTTCGAAAACCCACTGACATCAGGGATAACGACCTACTTTGTTAAAGCATACCCTGTGAAATATAACACGACCGAAAACAAAAATCTGAAATGTACATGTTATTAAAAAAAATGCTAGCGTTGCAGTTTCGTCCTTGGCAATGAATGACGGAGGGCGACGGTGAGCTTTTAACCTTGAATGGGCACACTATGTCAAAACAGAGGCTGCAATTTCACCGCGGGAGATGCGGGGGCTAAAGAGATTAAAAGAATATCGATTTGTCTGTGTGTGTATGTGTGTTTAAAACCAGCTGTATTGTTCCCGAACAGGAAACGCGTTCCTATATAAAGGTAAAAAAAAATCTTCCTTTTCCTTTCACCAGCGAGAGGGCGGTCCCGGTTCCCCCAGCCGGAAGTTGCCAAAAAAAATAAGCTAGTACAAGATCTGCATTCCCTTCGGTTTAAAGGCGGATTCCTTCTTATTCATGAGTGCGGAGCGCAGCTTCCTTTTTTATGCCGCTATTCCATCGCGGATACTCTCCCGAAGAAAATCCTGTGGTCTTTCTCGCCCCCGACCTTTTCACAATAAGAGGGTGTCTGTTTTCTTTATCTTAACTAACGGGGGCGTCTGCAGTTTTTATACATTTATCTTAAAGCGTAATATGAGAATTTTACGCATCCCGAACCGCTCAGTGTTTGCTTTGTTATTTCTCTTCTCCTTGTCATCTTCATTTCTGTACTTCATCTATGTAGCGCCTGGATTGGGTAAGTGTCCGTTTTGGGTTTTTTTTTTCCTCTCTCTCGCTGTCTGATGGTTTTGTACTTTGGGGCTCCGAGTTGATGGTTTTACTGGAAGACAGTAGGAGAGAGCTGCTGGGCTCGCCGCTTTGCTGTTACATTTTCAGCTGACTGTCAGAGTCTCAGGCCCAGCGGGAGGGAGTTGGATCTGATTTGAGATAGAGAAAGAAAGCTCAGAGGCATCGCCTCTCGGAGGCTTGACCGAAAATGGGCGTGCTATCCCTTGAAGTGGACAATGTGTTCAAAAAGAAAGCTTTATCCATTGGCAAACTAGGCGGAAGTGCCTCTTAGGTTAGTCTCGGAATCGAAAAGACGCCCGAAGAAACATCGTTTCATGTGTTGCCACTGCATGGGCTTTATAAATAAATACAGTTCCGTTTTAAAAAAAAAATTCTTTAATTGTCCCCACAATTCCATTCCCATCCCTCCCTCTGCATTTGGGAATTATATAGTCGTGGATACATTTTTACATATTCTGTCTACTTTCAATAAACGTTGTAACCAAGCAATCTTGGTTTACGCAAGTTCTTGTGACTGGAAACAGTTGAATCACATTGTTGAATTTCCCAACTCTCAGTAGACGATTGAAGCCTTTAAAATGTTGCTTTCAGTTGGTGCTGTAGTGGTGCAGAGTCATTCGCAAGCCCTTAAATTGTTGCATAAAACCGGCTAACCCATTTGTCTGTCAACTGAGCAAAGAAATTTCCAGATAGTAATTTCCTTCAGTAAACTATTGCCCCATTCTACAGTTCTCACGTGTTTTCTGGCATAGTAGCGCGGTCAGTCACAACATGGATGATTGTACAAACCATTACAGAATGTACTCGGAGAAAGACCTTTCAACCTGACAAAGTCTGAATGTTTTAGTTATACAAGCCTGAAATGAAAGTCAGAACAACCTTGATTTAATGAGATGAAATGAGCCTTCGTGATTTTTTTTCCCGAATGAAAGTCCATGAATACAAACTATATTGATAGGTTTATAAATCATTCATTTGTAGTTGTGGGAATAAGAACAGCCTATTTTTCCCAGTTCTGAGTTCATTTTATAAGGGTGTGTTTAACAATGAAGAAGCGATTGATCCAAATGTTGTTAATTAATCAAGGCCAGCCCTAAGAGTTTTGTTTATTTTTTAATGTATCCTGTGTTTAATGTGAATTTCTTTGGAACTAAGTAAACAAAATAATATATTTCACTCAATGCAGTAAGACCCGATGATAGTTGCAGAATGTGACTAATATTCTGGCATTGAGGAAGAAATTACTTTTTGTTAGAGTTTTAAACTCTTTGTCAAGGCCATATTTCCCGTTCTTGACCTTTTACGATTCCATTAGAGAAACTGCCACTCTGTAATATTTCTTCCACTTTGTTTGATCTTTGTTAGATAGGTAGTCAGTTTGAGATTTTGATCTCCAAGGTTTTGTCCATAATGTTTTTGTCTTTTTAATATTGGGAATTGAGCATTTTCATAGGGTTTGTTATTAGAATACAATTGGCTAATGAAACAAACATTGCACTTCTCTTTTAAAAAGATGAAAGTGTTTTATGAGAGAACACAAAAAAGATACACAATTGTGGGATTAGAGTGATAGCTCCAGTAGAAGTTCACAGAGGAAGCTCTGTGCTAAATGTTGAAAATGAGTTTGCTGCAAAGGTGAAATGACAACACTTCGTGATTGGTTGACTGGTTAAAAATGTTTCTTGAGTTATGTTTTCAAGCTTGCTGCAATAGAACTTATGCTGACAAATATTTTCAACATTCACCCTTAGTATTTTATTCCCTTCTTTGCCGAACATAGTGGGTTTGACTATGACTCTGTTCTACTAACACCAGCAACCCAGGAGCATTTTCAGCTGAGCGGTCTGCATATGCAACCCTTCTGAGCAGAATGTTTGACATTGATAATCAATTTTTGGCTTTGCCATTGCCTAATATTCATAATACTTCCTCAACTGAATTTGGATCATGTTTTTTTGGTTAACCTCCCCCTTGTGTCTGACAGAAAATCAAGCAAGATAATAGGTTCCCATTGCTCTTGTCTATAACCCACTTAATTCTACAAATCTAGGTATATTACACAATGAAAAATTTATGAATTAAGCTTCTTAATTATGGAAGTTTGCAGATCTAGAATCAATTAAAGTTTTTCCTTTCCTTTCTAAAAAAAAAAGTTGCTGATATTTTTCAGCCATATTCTGATGCTGCCTAGCAGAAGGCTAGTCTATTGACTTTCATTAGCAGTGTCCTACTGTTTCGAATTTTACTGGGAACGGAAGTGAAAGGAAGTTTTGCGGTTTTAAATCTGTCCATCAATTTCCTACTTATTTGAGACAAAACATTGATACAAAGCCAGCTTTATAGTATTGTTCTATCTTAATCTTGTTAACTGTGTCACTTCTAACTTCTATCTCTAATCTGTTACACCAGAATTAAAGAAAAGCACTTGTAGTATGCTGTCTGTTGAAGAAAATTTATTGAATGTTCTAATAGAAGTTTGTATGTTTGCAAAGATCTGTAATGCATGAGATGTAGACACATGTTAGCAGTGTGATTTATGTTTGGAAAGATAAGTTTGAAAAGTCTCTATTGAGCAATGGAGGGTCTCGTGGTACAGTGGTAGTCTACCTACCCATGGATTGGGAAGCCCAGGTTCAAGTTTCACCTGCTCCAAAGGTATGCAATAACATCTTGGAACAGGTTGATTAGAAAAATATTGGAACGATGGATGAAAGTTAATGGTATTTATTTCACATTGTCAATGTGAATCAGTATTCTATTTCAGGCTGACTGTTATTAAATATTTGTCAACATTTGCTTCATTAACTGATTATGCAAAGGTTCCATGAAACAAAATACAAATACAGATGTGAAATCCAGGCACCCCCTTAAACACTGACTCTTCAGATAGCCTGTATGTCAATACAAGAATGTTTTGAAATGGCATATTCAATCATGAAGTGATGTCATTTGTTAGGAGTTAAAAACCACATATCTAGAAAGTATTCCGTTGTTGTTTATATCGATGAAGAACATTCAACATAATGCTTACATTGAAAAGTGTACGTGGTGCTGATACTAATGCTTAATGTTCGGAGCTAAAATAAGTCTTACTAAAATTTCAGTCTTCCAGTTACTGAATGACTATATATGTGTTAGTTGATAAGGCATTTTGATCTTGCATGCACAGAACTCCTTTCCATGAGATTAATTGGTAAATGTGACATTACAATTTCCTTCTCCATTTTACCTCAGACCTTTTGTAAACTGTTATATAACTGCAAAAATAGTTTGTGTAAAAAGCTGTGTGAAAAGAAAACGTGTTTCAACTGGTGTAAAGGTGAGTTTTTCCCATAAATATTGATATGGAACATTCCACGATACAAAAAAAGCGTATTTTTGAGTTATTATAATGTCAATATTTTGCTTTAGTAGTGCAAAGCATTTCATCAGATCCTTGGATTGAAAAGGTCTCTACATTAAATGCTGACTATCAGTTCTGGGATCCAGACTGCACACAATTTCTTCTCTGCACCTGTCCTTTTTGTCTCTGATTTTTTTTTTTCTTGCAAAATAGATGCTGCTAACTAAATTAGCACTGAATTCAGTAGATTGTGTTATTCCTGAAATTAAGCATATGCAGGCCTACCTCACTTTAACGTTACTGTGACAGGAGATCTATCTGTTGGTGTATGATTTGGTACTTAACCTTGGTGCCATGTTTTCTGAACTAGGGTTTTTCATTGTATGTAGAACAAATTGAAACTTGATTGAAGACCTAGCTTTGTTTTGCAGAAAATGACTTTTTTTTTTAGGAGAAGGAATTTTTGATGAGAAGTGGAGTATGTCTTTAGTCATTAAGTTTTATAATAAAGTTCCACGCTTTTACATTTGTTTCTGCTGTCTGCCTCATCTAAAATTAGAAATGTATGATATTGAAATAGGATGGTCCTTTTTTTTTTCAAAAAAATCAGTGCAGAACAGATGTATGTAGGGGAAGAAAGTATGTATTGAAATATCAGAAGGTTGTATGATTTCTCAAGTCTGTTCCAAGCAGTGAAGACTTCATTGCTCAGTTTGCATCCATTTGCAGTGTTGTAACCTCCTTTTGTGGGATAAAAGTGCTGAAAGTACTTTTGACAATTCAGGGAAAAAAACCTGGAAAATTCCTCTCACTGCTTTCTCTGTCCTCCATGTCACACCCAGCTCAGCCACAGCCATTAAAGTGAGTTTTTAGAATGCCTATGATATTTGTGTGCAAAGCCATTTCTATGTGAGTCATTACCACGAATCAACATTTATCACCAGAGGTGGAAACTTATTCAGTGTAATGAAGACATCCTGATGTCTGTATGAGCTCTATGCTTGCATAACGTATAAACATGACACTGGCATTTCAGCTCAATCATCAACATCTATTCACTATTAGTTACAAAGCCTTAGAGCTGTACAGCATGGAAACAGACCCTTCGGTCCAACTTGTCCACACTGGCCAGATATCCTAGATAAATCTCTAGTCCCATTTGCCAACATTTGGCCCATATCTGTCTAAACCATTCCTGTTCATATACCCATCCAGATGCCTTTTTAAATGTTGCAATTGTACCAACCTCCACCAGCTAATTCCATGCGTGCACTACCCTTTGTGTGAAAAAGTTGCCACTTATGTCCCTTCTAAATCTTTCCCCTGTCACCTTAAACCTATGTCCTCTAGTTTTGGACTCCATTCCCCCGGGGAAAAAATTTCAGTTGTTCACCCTGTCCGTGCCCCTCATGACCTTTGAATCTTTGTAAAGTCACCTCTCAGCCTCCGATGTTCCAGGGAAAATAGCCCCAGCCTTATTCAACCTCTCCCTATAACTCAAACCATCCAACGCTGGCAACATCTCTGTAAATCTTTTTTAAACCCTTTCAGGTTTCACAACATCCTTCCTACAGCAGGGAGACCAGAATTGAACACACTGTTGC